GCGTCACCGTGAACTTGAGTCCACTACGCGCTTTCATAAAATCCACGCCGAGTTCCAAACTCCACTCCCACACCTCCATAATCCATGCCGCATTAAAAACTCCACTTCCAAATTTCTGCAATCCGCAATCTATTCTAAAATCCACTCCACACTTGTGCACCCAACAATCCATTATCGCATCAACTCCTAATTTCTACCATCCTCAATCCATTCTAAACTAAATTTCACAATCCATGCTCCATTCAAACGCCACTCCACGTTTCTTCAGTCGACGTTCTATCCCAAACGCCACTCAACACTTCTAAAATCCGCGCTCCATTCCAAACTTCACACGACGCTTCTGCAATCCGCAATCCAAGCTCAGCGTGACGACGCACTGCCGCAATCCGTACTCCATTATACACTCCACTCTTCCACTCAAATGATACGCCACGAAACGCTTCTACGATCCAGTCTCAATTCCAAACTCCACTCCACACTTCGACAAGCCACATTCCGCTACCAAATATATTTCACCGTGCATTTCCACAATCCATGCGCCACTTCAAAGTGGACTCCACTCCGGGTTTATGTAATCACAGTGGTTGTTTGTCCTATACGTATATGTTTGGCCTTGTGAATCGAACTTTTTTTTAAATAACCTATCTTATTATAAACACTCATACACTCACTCATTAAAGGTCATGAAAGAGAAAGTATGCGAGTTCTAATAACCACTTGAAACTGCACACCACACTACCCTATACACCAAAGACAAAGTTCCCCGTATAGCCTTACCAGACTGTAGGGGCAAGTGCTGTTAGCGAGCACCTATGCAGAGCACCCACTTCACCACACAATTCACTCTACACCCTACGCTCCACACCACACACCTCACTCTACACCACACACTCCACTCTACACACCACTCTACACCACTCTACACCACACACACCACTCTACACCACACACACCATACACCCCACCCTACACCACACACACCACTCTACACCACACACTCCACTCTACACACCACTCTACACCACACACTCCACTCTACACCACCCTACACCACACACACTATACACCCCACCCTACACCACACCACAGACAACACTATACACCACACACCCCACCCTACACCACACCACACACTCCACTCTACACCACACACACCACTCTACACCACACACACTTTACACCCTACACCACACCACAGACACCACACACACCACTCTACACCACACCATAGACACCACTGTACACCACACACACCACTCTACACCACACACAATACACCGCACCCTACACCACCCCATAGATACCACACACACCACTCTACACCACACACTTCACACCACACACCATACACCCCACTCTACACCACACACACCACTCTACACTACACACACCACTCTACACACCACTCTACACCACACACACTACTCTACACCACTCTACACCACATACACACCACTCTACACTACACACACCACTCTACACACCACACACACTACTCTACACCACACACACCACTCTACACCACACACACCACTCTACACCACACACACCACACACTCGACTCTACACCACACACACCACTCTACACCACACACACTACACACACCACTCAACACCACACACTCCACTCTACTCCACACACACCACTCTACACCACACACACTACACACACTACACACACCACACACTCCACTCTACACCACACACACTACTCTACACCACTCTATACCACACACACTCCACACCACACACACTACTCTACACCACACACACAACACACACCACTCTACCCCACACACACTACTCTACACCACACACACCACTCTACACCACACACACCACTCTACACCACACACACCACACACTCGACTCTACACCACACACACCACTCTACACCACACACACTACACACACCACTCAACACCACACACTCCACTCTACTCCACACACACCACTCTACACCACACACACTACACACACTACACACACCACACACTCCACTCTACACCACACACACTACTCTACACCACTCTATACCACACACACTCCACACCACACACACTACTCTACACCACACACACAACACACACCACTCTACCCCACACACACTACTCTACACCACACACACCACTCTACACCACACCACAGACACCACACACACCACTCTACACCACACACACGACTCTACACCACTCTACACCACACACACCACTCTACACCAGACCACAGACACCACACACACCACTCTACACACGAACTCAACCGCGCACCCCTCCCCATGAGCCGTGATGAGTCTCGCGCGCACCGGTCACTAAACATGCTCAATAAATATTGTAGAGAGCCATGGCAACGCCAGCCAGTCTATTTTCTCCGTGTGTTCCACTCCCTCCCGCCATCTCTCCCTCCTCCCTCCCTCCCTCTGAGCCTCGGTGGGCGCGAGGCCGCCACCGCACGCTGCCACGCGCCTCTGGCCCCGAGTGACCATCACCTCCACCTCCTCGTCGTCGCTGCAAGGCGTTTTGTGTTTTATGTTGCCCCTCTCTGCGGGGTCAATGGTCGACTCGCTGCGAAGCGGCAGGGGGCTTGGCCCCAGCGACACGGAACGGCACCCACAGCTCGGCATCGCCCACAGCCTGCTGCTGCTCACAGACACCGCCGACGATTCACCCTCCCTGCCCCTCGCCAGACATTCACCTCTCGTCGGCACGTTTAAGGCGTCGCGATTTCACTCTCGTTCGATTCAAAACTAAACACGCCGCCGCTGCTGCTGCCTCGTCTGGCTCATTGCCCGGCGATGATGCTGCGTTGGCACTCATGTGCCAATGAACACATTCAGAACATTCTGTCAATACAAGGATAAGCGGTGGCCTTAAAAATGCGGGCGACGTTTCGGGAAACGGCCCTTCGTCACGGTGCTGGAATTGTAAATGTCGTGGGCTTACCCTCCAACACACTACCGGCGTGCTGAACTAGTAACGAATTGACACGTTTATGTGACAAACTTTACGAATTGGCTGTCGGGTGGTGGCGGTGCTTAACGACACATTTACGCGATCTAACCCAAACAAAACCTCTGGATAATATTGGTCGCGAAAGCCCTCCGTGTTAAACTCGCATCATCACGCTCACGTCTCGAACATTTAACGCTGTGGGGACGCTACGTTTAAAATGTGTTTGTGCCTTTAACACTGTTGTTGTTCAAAACGTATCTCATGGTGCTTGTCAAGGGGTCCCCCAACTCGTAGGTTTGGCCACCAGTGGGGGGCCAAGACACCCCCCCTGCCCCCCACGCAAGTTACGCTCCTGCACGTGGCCCTCGGCGAGTGTCCTGGCAATGACTTGGTCAGTGCTGCCTCGGCTGCCCCTGGGGCGCATCGCTCTTGCTGCTGTTGCTGTTGTTGGCGCGGCTCCGCTCCCAGCCCCAGCCCTCGTGTTTCCCTAACCCTGACCTCCCCAGCACTCCACGCGGGCAGGAGGCGCCCCACTCACAGGACGCACCGTACATTGGAACGGGCCAGGTGGGTCCGCGGTAGAGCAAACACGGCCCGCAAATCGGACATCTGTGAAACTACTGGACGTCTGTGAAAAAGAGCTTCGTAGCTCATCGGATTCCTCCAGTATGCGAATTCTGAATGGCTGAGAGTTCACGCCTCATCACCCCATCCAGGGTAGATGATGCAAGGAGTACCACTCTGTGGGCAAGTTAACAGTGGGTTGTACTTTGGAAAGACTCCCCCCTCCCACTGGCCATGGAAACGTGGAATTTCCACCACTGGCTGTAAACAGATGAGCACCACGTCCATGATCATTTGAGAAAAAAAAACACTTATATTTTTTATTATTTAAACCGCTGCTGTCAACGCTTTGCATCGCCTCCCCACTCGCCCGGTGTTCCGTGTATTTGAAGCGGTACAGTCCGCGGGTTTCGCGACGCCACGTTAGGGCCTCTTTTTATTTTAGCGTCAGTCACCGCGACCGCACGGCGCGGCAGCGCGCTCACACCTCGGCAAGGAGGAACAGAGCGCGACTGTGCGCCCGAGAGCGCGGAGCCCCACGTGTCCACACCAATCCGTGTCTCCTCGCCCGCGTACTATTTATGACTTCCTTTCTCCGACGCAGCACCCCCCCCCACCCCCCCCTGAGATTTGTTGAAAGGGAGCCCCCTGCCAGGCGTCTTGCAGGGAAGGGCCCGAGCCCCCGCGTCTCGAACCAGTGCAGCGGCGGGCCGTGGTCACGTGGGGCTCAACTGTGACGCGCGCCTCCAGTGCCACGAGGTCGCGGCGGCCATGGCGGGAATCAAAGTTTATTATACTGCAGGAGAAATCCGGTGCGCTATAAAGCTCTTTTTCACAGACGTCCATTCGGGGCGGTTTTGAACGTTACAACAAACAGTACAAAAAAAACACCGAGTGCAAATTACAAAGGTAAACAAATCACCCAAAACTCTAACCCAATTAACAAATGAAACACTCGTCACCAGTCTATCTACTGCTGGATGAAGGCCTCATGACGCCGCCCCTCACAATCCACCTCGCTCCTGTACTTGCTCACCTCATCGCTCCATCGCGACGGTTGTCGTCTCCTCGCCCACGTTCTCTCCTGTGGCTCCACATGCCATGCCAGCCTGGGCCATCCTCCCCTTCCTCTTCATAATTCTAGGATTTCTATAACTTGGATTTGACCTCTGATCCATGCGTTTATCGTTTTGTCTCTCAGTGCCAATCCCAATCGTGCACCTACATATCCAAATGCTTCTTCGCTGTAGTCAAACATCAAGTAGTGTTTATTTGTGTTCCGCCAGCATTTTGATGGGTTACCCATGGAAATCTTGATCTAAGTTTTGTTATCAAATCTGTTGGTGCAGGAAAGCCTCGCAGGTAAAGAGCAAGTCCCAAGACACGATTCTCAGGAGGCTCAAGACACGACCACTACACCTCACCACCTGGAATCAAACATCGGGGTCAAAGGTTGCGAATGTATACACACACACAAACGCGGTATATATTAGAATATTTTATTTGAAATTTTAATACCTTGCCAGTTTATCTACAAAGCAGATGGTAAAGTGCCCTCGAAGTGCCCAACTAGTTTGTCTTTGACAAGTTCGAAATGAAACATTACAGAAACCCTGTTGTAAATAGCGAGACAGACACGTGGGCATTTCACGTAAAGCATCTTAAATAATCCGCAGCAGCGCCTCTGGGCTGACACGCGCGCAGCAGTCACACTTATGCAGGCAAAGGGGGAGACGTCGGACCTGCTACAGTGTTCAAACTAAAACAATCGCGCTTGCCCTCGAGGAAGACGCGGGCCATCTGACAGGCAGCTCTTGCGGTAGATACCCGCCGGGGCTGTGGGGCTCAGGCTGCCCGACCAGTTTGGGATTTTCGTCGACGAGAAAGTCAAAAAAGAAAAGACGGTGATGGTCACCTGCGTCAATGCCATTCGTGCACAGGTGATATTACAGAGACGTCACTGTGACGTCGGTGAGTTCACTGTGATATCACTAGAGCTCAAAAATGGTGAGGGGGGGGGACGTTTCCATTTAACGAGGTTTTTTTATCTTTACCAAAGATTCCTACTCCTGACAGCCCAAGGCGCGGTTTCACAAGAGATGTTTGCTCATCGGATCAAGTCTTCCCTTAAGCTGGATTTTGTTTGTTTGTTAAATTACATATTATAAACTACGCATACTGTCGTTCAATCGCTACCACCAACACCACCACCACCACCTTCAAATTGCACCCGATTCGAAATCTATGTACATATTACAATGGCGTCATCAAGGATATAAACAGCTGGCCGCTCTCACGCATTCGCTATGTACAGCTCCATTCGGAGAGGGCCCTGTTCCGGGACATCTCCCGTGGGACGGGCGGCTCCTGCGAGTCCAGGGCTGGGGTGTTGCCGTCTGTGGTGGCTGCTCATCCGATAGCGCCGACGATTGAACCACACTTCTCGCTCTCCGAGAGGTAGGAGAAAGTGCCATATTTTAATCCTCACCCTCCGGCAAAGTAGAGTTAACTTCCCATTTTTCCCCCCATTAAAGTAATTTTCTCCTTAACAGGCCTACAGGATTGGGTGTGCTGTGATGTGTGCACGTGTTCATAGGAGCATCCGTGTCAGACCCGGATTAATTAATGGAATTCATCAGGTGTGGCATATTTCTCAATTTTCAATCGCTGCTTTCTAAACGCCTTTGTTTGACAACAAGAAGGACGCGTACAAGTTTATTCTGGGTGCGAGCAGAGGAAATTCTGCGTAAAGGACTTGCACACTTGTCTCCATCCTATCCATTTCACAATCATTTTACCATCACATCAATTGACTGTTAATCAAAAGAACGACCGAGTAACGCGACGACGATCGCAGAATCAGTGACGGGGAGACGCGTGCCGTCGACGCGATTGAAATAAGATGACAGGCGGAGACGAACGGAGAGACGGCGAGAGACACTTCCCTGAAAAGAGACGAGCAACCCAAATGTAAATAAAACATGGATTCAAAGTTGGACTCATAACACCACGTGGGTTTGGGCTGACCCTATCTCTACCCCTAACAAGAACACTCGCGAGTTCAAAGCCAACACGCGTCCACTTTTTGGACTCGTTAAGTTTCTTTCGTTGCGGACACAAGAACAAATATTCACCCCGTTTCAGCCCGATGACAATGGCGGAGAATTTTCTGCGACTGAAGTGCGCCTATTTAAAGGGCCAGAAAGGCACGGTGGGTGGCGGGGCCTACAACACGCGGAGTCCGTGGGCCCACATCAGATGTTCACCTCTACAGCTTGAAATGTTTTCCATGAGTGGCAAAACCTTAGTGGTGGGTTTTTAGTAAAAGCGAATTGTGCCGTCAAATGAATAAATACGTGACATAATTTACTCTTACTGACCTTACAAATAAATTACCGCCAAATCTGCCCGTTACCGATTTTCACCGCGGCCCAGGAACTCGTACGCCGAACTGCTCGTCTCTGAAGCCGGCACCGAGGCTCACGGCCAACACCACCCCTCCTAGGCCCAGCGACAAGTCCCAACCTGGGCCCCAACCCTGCCCCAGCTGCTAACGGGCCACGTGGACTGGCTCCGTGAGCTCTCGTGGCTCTGGTGCTGTCGCCACGTCCACATGGCCCCTCTCTCCCGTTGCTCCGTGTGGAGGACCCGTTTCACACTCGCGCGAGTGTGAGGGGGTTCGACTCCCCGCAGTGGTTATCACCCCTTGGACCGTGGAATTCTGTTACAGCCAAGTCCCTTGCACGACCGAGACGTGACTTGCATTGTCTGGCAGTAAATTAATTCTCAATTATAACACAACACATGAATTGCCAACTTCAATGTACTTTACATGAATGAGTTAGGACTGAGGCTATGGGTGGAGGTCGGCCTAAGGCTTCCAGCTACGGATATTTGCTCGTCTTAGGACTTGCATTAAGATGAGGTAATGGCTCATGTTAAGGGAAGTGGTTAAAGTTCGTGATAATGGGGGTGTGATTAAGGTTGGTATTAGGGATAAAGTTAGGGTGTTGGAATGTGGTTAGGATCAGGAATATCGTTAGGGATGTGGCTAAATTTAGGGAGAGGCATTTGGTCACTTTTGGTATTCGGGGCTGGTTAGGATGTGGCTATGATTAGTAACAGGGTTAATGCTAAGGTAGTGGTTTTGGTTAATGCTATGGCTGCAGCTATGGTTAGTGTAAGAATCCGGGTTAGGGTTAATGCCACGACATGGTTAGGATTGTGGCCAAGACCGAAAAAGAAAAGGGCACAGAACCCCAGCAACGGTGACCACGGCCGCCGCCGCTGCGGCCCCCGTGCCCCGCGAGCGAACCGCGCGGCGGTGCGAAGGCGACAGCGTTGGCACAGGGCCGCCAACGACCGAGGGGACGACGAGGTGCGGCCAACCCCCGGTTGTCAGTGGGCGGACTATCCGGGTTGCGGATCCGCCGGTTAAAAATTTGCCATTCCCTCCCTTGCCGAGGGCCGGTGACTCGGCGCCCCCTTGCGCGACCGCGAACACGCCGCGGCGAGTGAAGGCGCTTCAGACGCGACGAACGCCGACTCGGCCAACTCTACCTCCCAACTCCCGTTCTACTACGCAGCAATAAATACGGTGCGCGTTCATAGGGCCACGTTCACGTGCGTCTGAGCATCGTCCCTCCGCGTGTTTTTTTTTTTCCGGGCCGCCCCTGCCCCCCCACTCCGCAGGATAATCGTCGTGTAGTGCGTGGCCTGGGTTGGGCAAACGCTGCCGATTGGCGTCGTTTTTTTTAGCCGACAGGCAACGCTCGAAAGCGAAACGCAGTCACAGCGCCACCAGGCGGCAGGAATGGACATTGAACAGTGCTGGAATTTTAGATCATCGCAAGGGCCAGTGGGGATGTAATTATCCATCCCATCCACCGCTCAATTAGACCCACACATTGGTCCCCCCCTCCCTTGGTTCCCCACCCCACCCTCTCCCACTTGGTCCCCCCACACCCCCGCCACGGTGCACTGTAGGCATGTAACGACTCGTTCCCCTGGAACGTGGACGTCGTGATTCCGTCACCATTACATCGGACAACCAATTACATATTATCTCAGTCTGTCTAGTTTGTGCTGTGTCATGTTTCTACTATCTACACGGTGTCACTTGTTCTGTCATTTGTTCCGCGCGCGATGTGGCGAACTTTGCATATCGTCGTTATGCATAGTAAGAGCAGAGTCTTGACGCGCGCGATTCGACGCTAGTCTCGTTGCGTATATCGAGCGGCAAACCGTTACACACCTACAGTGCACGCATCGGAGCTTTACCCTCTCCTCCCGTGAGCCAATCGCGAAATGCAACGAATCTGAAACAATTATTACACGCACGCAAATCGGATACACGCGAGTGCAAGAGAAGAATTGAGTCGACGATTCGAGCGTCGTAACATCCCAGAGAACGCGTGGCCCCGTCAATCCACCCACGTGGTTGTCGAGCACACAGATAGGCCTCTTTTTTTTTTTTCAAACGGACCAATCGCTTAATTTAGGAACATGACAAGTACGTAAAGAATGGCACTCATTTACGCCTTTGACATTTGTTAAAAGTCGTAAGAGTAGGAATAATTTAGAAGTTTGGAGGGTGGGGTGAGTGGGGGGTGAATTATCCATGGGTGTCCATGTCGAGCAGCAAAGGGGGCCTTGTGCGTGGTATCGAGCGAGCGCAGAACATCGCGAGAATCCCCACCCACACCCCCGACCCCCGCTGGGTTGGACGGTTACTTTTTTTGGAAAAGATAATTCATGTAAAATGTACAGGTGCTCGAATGGACGCATTATTTGGACCCATTAAAGGAAGCAAGGTTTACAAGGAGCGTCCGCAAATGCACCTTGCGGTTGGCAACGCTGCCGGCGTGCAGCTCGGGGCGTGGCGAGTGGCGGCTCGTGGGTCCAGCCGAGGCCACAAACTCTACCCTGGGACTGATTTATCGATGCAGGCGACGCGTGCAGGGAGTTCAACCGGTACCCCGCGGGTGTGACGACCAAGGCGCCGACGCTCGGCTGCCATCTGCCAAAGGAAGCGATGACGAAGCCACCGCTGCTAACTCACGCCACCCCGGGTGCGTGTGGTGCGTCACCTGCGACTGTGGTTTCTCCATAAAACCAGGCAGTAGCGGGTTACTTCACCCACTCGGCAAGTTCCACTCGGTTAAGCCAACACTGAACTTCTCTACAGTCGCCATTCAGGGCCAGGCAGGCCCATTCTCAGTACAAGGATCACTCAGGAGTCCAGGCTCAGGTTCATCTTACAGTCAGCTGTAGTTAGTGTCCACTACTTGCAGTACCCTTTCACAGCGAGTCGAGGGCTTTTTGTGAATGTGGCAACGCTGGCAAAAGCTCAGAACCGAAACTAAAAAGACCGCTCGGCTCAGTCCTAGCGCGAGAGTAAGGTTTGGCGTCAGCCGGTTTAGGTGTCGGTAAAGCTTGGTGTTAACAGCGAAGGTAAAAGGTAGGGTTAAGTTTCGTGTCTGTGTAAACGCGATGATCTCATTTCACCACCTGGAGTTGCAAAGTGTCTTCCAATCAAAGCGCTGTTGCCAGTGTCGCTGGAAGGCCTCAACTCAGCACGCACGCCGACAACCCGGCTGGGCCGCCAACCCGGCTGGGCCGCCAACCCGGCTGGGCCCACGCTCGAGCGATTACCGCGCTCCTCAAATCGGTTGCTAAAAAGCGACGCCCCTTAAATAAAACGATCGTCAACCGCCGCCGGTTCACCGTCCCCTAACGCGGAGGAGTGCGGTGAGCGACCTCTCCTGGCGGTTCGCGAGGAAGTTTCCCGCGGGCGGAGTTAAAACCGAACGGCGCTCGCTGTATTCGGACAAGCGGAGAGACGGCACGCACGCGTGCCGCCAGTTTCGCTACAGGGAATAGGAAACGCGGCCGCCGGCGCTTCCACCGCCCCCTCCCCGCGTGCGAGTACGCGCGGACGTCAAGTGCAAGCGGTCGACCCAGACTCACCACGCGGGGGGGTGTTCAGGGTGAAGGCTCTCTCGCCACAACTACTCACAACCCACCTCACACACACACACCCCTCCCCTTACCAAACAACAATATGATACATCGGTTTATGTGTACATGTGCAAGCTGCCGCAGTCCGTCGCGGCTCAAACTACAATTAACGACTGCGACGGGAGACAAAGATCAATCTCGTATGTTCTACATACAGTAGTTCACTCATTGACCCGACGGGGATCCTGCGACGTTCGGTCAATTCTCACTTCGTCCGTCTCTGCCCGCCCGACCGCCCGCCACAGAACTCCCCGGCACCGACCGGCTCGCTCTTTCCCAGACGATTCCGCGGTGGTTTTGGCGTTGGCGTCGGGCACAGAGATTGAGCGAGCGGGCGGGCGGGCGGGCAGGCGGATGAGCGAGCGAGGGGTCAGGGCCCGTCCACGCCCACCGCGCCGCAAGCTGGCGCGGTGGGCGTGAGCGTGGACGGGAACATGAGCACCTTGGCGCGCATGAACGACAGGTCAGGAAGGGAGGCCATGACCGACAGGGCCTCGCCGCTCAGCTTCTCTTCGCGACGCGGCCTCCTGCTCCGACACGAATCGACACAAAAGGACACGGAGCCCAACACGGATCAACAATAATCGCCGTCAGTCACCACGATACTCGTCAAACATCACAACACGAAACAACAATCAACACAGTACTAAACAATACAAATCAACACACAAAGACACAAATCACCAGAAATAAACACAAAAACAGTGCAACCACATTGTCTCTCAATGGTTTTTGGAGGCCGAGTTGGTGTAGCACTCAGATTACCGTGCGTTTGACGCACAACCTGTAGTGCTATCCGGTGGTGTGTTCAACGCAGTACAGCAAGTACGAGCGTGGAGCGACGGTGCTTGCATTCGCGAGCCATTCTCACACAACACAAGGTGCCTCCCGACCCCCGACCCTGCCCACCCCCCCCCCACCCCCACCGCCACCATCGCCCCCGCGCGTCCACTCACCGCGCCGAGGTGAGCGTCTTGTCGGCCGTGGACATGAGGCGCGCGATGGCGTCCGTCACTCGGCTCACCGTGCTCGCAGACTCCATCTTGGCCGTGGTCAGCTCAAACAGCTCTGGGTCGACGCCTACGGCCGCCACACGCACGCAGGTCGGGTCAGTGGGTCAGGGGTCACCGCCATGGTTCGGCAGAAGAAAAAAAACGCCAACAACAAATGCCGAAGATTAACGACGATTTGGGTTCATCCACTTCTCGGATGAACCCAACGACTCTGTGGACTCGTGAGGTCACTTGCCACACCCGGCGGGCCATTATGTGCCAAGAGCTGAGACGGCAAGTATGATGAATTACCGGCAGCAAAGTTGTATGACATCATTATGTGCTGCCTTGGGGGTGGGGGGGTGCTGTGTGCAGATAAACAATAATAAATAAAAACTAGGGAAAAGCATGCTTTTTCAACAAAAGAAAACAGCATCCATAAATAAATGGGCTACGTGTACTAACAGCTTTCAGCAGCGTTTGAATCAACATTGAAACGCTGGACTGGATTTCACTTGGTTGTTAAACTCGTGTATCCATCTGCGTGTGACCAGGCCCCCCCCCCGCCACAGACTCCTGGTAAATGAGATGGCTAAACCCATTCGTGAGTGCTCACCAGGGCTAAATAAAGAGAAGCTTACTGAACGTGAAGAGATAATGTGGACGCGTGTGAGCATGGAGACATGTCGAGATTCTCGCTGGACGACTCGACATGCGGTTTAAAAAAATGGTCTCCGTTATTCGCCATTTGCTTTCAACGATTCTTGTTCAATTCAGACAAAGCCGCTGAGAGCTGCGCAGTTTTCACGCGACGGCGTAATGGAGCGCTAATTAAATTAGCCGTGCGAGCCATGACACCCATCCTGATTTGCAGGGCATTTTTAACGGATTAAAAAAAAAGATTGCAACACAACGAACGTTTAACCGCCTAAGTGACACACGCGCCGGCAAAGCTGAGCGAGGCGTCCGTGCGCGGAGGATTAAGCACACGCACTAATGAGGTGCCGAAAAAGTGCGGCCAGCGACTGAAAAGCAGAGCTGTAGAGCTGTAGGCCCCGGTAGCTCTGGCGGCTCTGGTGGGAGCGCAGCGCTGCGGGCCTCCCGACAGTTGGCAGCCGCTTGCCGGGTGCCCCCTTGGCCCAGTCTCGCAGGGCGCTTCAGCGAGTCGGCACAAGAGCCACGCGGACGGGAGCCTGGCGTCTCGCGAGGCGCATGCCTCCAATCCAGCACTCTGGTGATGGAATCATCGTGCGCGAACGACTCTCGGCAAGCAAGGCCGTGATTATGAGAGGGGATGGCAGCACAGGAAGAGACTGCTGCTGACTTCTCCTGCCTCACCTTTGACCTATTCACCTCGAACGCACCTCCATCTCATCAGATCTCACAAGTTTAGCCAGTTTCAGGTTGCATAGTGCTTGGATGGACAACTACATGGACGACAGGTGTTACAGGCTGCTCCAGGGCTACACTCTGGGCAGCCGAGGGGAGTGAAGCACATTGTTGTACCATACTTATACGCTTCCGCGTCTATGCTCGCCTTCTTCACCAACCCTCACTGACCAGGGTGGTGAAGTATGGTCAAACGACTACCTGGAACCACAGGGCATGGGGAAGGCCCTCATCCAGTAGCAAATTGACGAAGGGCTGCACATGCGCGCGCGTGTCGCGCCGTGAGACGTTTGAAGTCGATTTAGGTATACCAGGTGAGAACTCGGGAGACTAAAATAGCCTATTATTCTGCCGGAAAGGGTGGCGATGATTGCAATGTATGATCCGAATTTCAATATCCATTGGGAACTCTCACAGGGCAGTAAATCACCCCGTGTATTAAGAGGAAGGTCCGTAGAAGCAGATATCACAGAACTCCTTCCGAGAGCCTTTCAAATGAGATTTTTTTTTTACCACACACGATGGGGCAGCACTTTCCTATATGTCCTGCAACATTAACATTTTTGTTGCACGGCAAACTGATATTATCCATTCACAGGGCTGAAATTTAGCCAGGTGAAGTGGAAAAATCATATTTAACGTCAATTTTCGTGCAGTCAGTGATAGCCAACGAGGATCCATAAATTATCCACACAGTCCATGAGCGCAGAGCAGATATCTCAACCCCGTCAGGTGGCACCCCGTTAGTGGTTCCAATCTTTTCACGTGGCCATTTGACGAACGTATTGTTGAGTTTTCAGTTCACCGTTGGTGGTGACTGACAATTGAGGCCAGGATCTCCGAAGTGCCCGCTCAGCGTTCTGGCTCGAGCCACCACCGCCACCAGCGCCGTTTCAAACGGAAGCCGACATCGCCGAACACGCTCCGCTGAAACTCAGGTGCTTTTTTGAAGAGGCTACGTGCGAGTAAAGCGAGGAAGGAAAGCGAAACGCACACGCGTGCTCGCAGCGACGTGGGAACCCCAAACGTGTACGGCGAATCGATTCCCCTTTATCATTCTGCGGACAACTCGGTCGGTCGGAGCGGCAGTAGCAGCTAGCGTGATCACAATGCAATCCGCGGGTAGGAGCGGCGGTGGCAGCTAGAGCGCTCGCAATGCAATTCGAGGGGGGTGGGGGAGGGGACGGGGGGGCGATGGAGCAAACACAAAGCAAAGTGCAGCCGAGCGAGGTTCCGGTCAGCGGCACGCTCCGCGAATGTCGCGTCGCGCAACTCGGGGGGTGCACGACCGGGACGGCGACGGACCACGAGCCGTCTCCACGGAGACTCCGCCGAGACGGCTCGTGGCGGCGACGCCGACGGAACCCTCGCTCCGTTTTCACGGCAAGGCAAGGCGCAGCGTGGCGTCGCTGACCTGGCATGGACGCGCCCTGGCTGGCGCCCGTCCACTCGTCCGCTGGCCCAAAGAAATCGAGATTAAGGGTGCTGGAGGCTCCGTTGGCTAGGCGGTTAGTAGGGGGACGGGGAGGCAAGAGGGCGGTGCCGTTAGGGTTCACGTCCGGCGGGAATTGAGCCAGGGAGCAACGGAAGGGAAAGGGGAAAAAGATAACATCAAGAAGTCGGTAAATTGTGAGAACAGGTGAGGGCAGGTGAGGGCAGGTGACAGCAGGTGAGGGCAGGTGAGGGCAGGTGAGGGCTGGAGGGTGCCGGGATGTAAGCCAAAGGTGTCTCCTTGTTCAACGGAGCGTGGGGTTGTGCTCATCGACATTGGCGGTCCTGAGTCGGTGCTGGAAGTTCCACACTGTCATGGCGGGGCCAGTCTACATTTAGGATGGCCGCAATGAACTCCCTACAGAGTGTACTCCTTTTATCGATGAAAGAAGATCATTGGTGATAAATGGATGATGATGCCTTTCAACCAAATCACGCCCGAGTGTGCCTGATCTCATCAGTCCTCAGAAGCAAAGCAGGTCTGGGCCTGGCAAAACCTTAGAAGGGAGGTTGCCTGGGAATACCAGATGGTTGTCGACGTTGGTTGCGAGGTGGCCAGAAGATGACAGCACAGCAACGGATCCTTGACTCTATCTGCATGGGTTTTGCTCCGAGTGCTCCGGTTACCCTTCTGCCAAAGCTGAACACCCGCTATGAAGAGCCCTCATGATAACGAGTCTCGAGACTGTGAGGCTTTGCAGGGTAAAGAAAGGACGTGAGTTTTATTATTATTACTGATCACGATGATTGACGACGACGGTGATAACAATAGGCAGGGGTCAGCGGCTGACCGGCACTGACGCGATCACCCCTTCCTCTTGTGAGTGGAACGCTCTTAACGAGCGAGAGAGACACACAGAGCTCACCCTAGAGAGAGTCTGAGACACGCACGTAGAAGACGGCTGCAGACAGTTTAGAAAGAAGCTTTATATGCGAATTCATTCAACGGGAAACAAACAAAGCCTTTGCGTTCAAAAAGAGTTACAGCTCTCGTCAACACGCAAGTCGACTTGACGTTCTGATCTTGCGAAAAACACTGCACGCAGTGAGGGTTAACATCTCCTGACAAAGCGCCAGCTCCTATCCGATGTGACATCGTCATGTTTTTGCGCATTTTTTTCCATGTTTTTTTCACAGAACAGATTCAAAAACTCACAAGGCAAATAAAATAGTTCTACACACATTGCGAATAAAGCAATTTGTTATAATATTGCACAGGAAAAAAGAAATGCTGAAAATACAGAAGCATGGATTTAGGCTTCGATTTAAAAGGAGAGGACAGAATAGCAATACGGCCGGGAGGAAAATCACGCAGCTAGGAAACCAAACACTTCCAGGATCATTTCAAGGTACAGGTAATACTACTTTATCTAGGCTTTCTCTCATTAACAAATGAAGCAATTTAGCTTTCACGTTATCAGTGTGTTGGTCGTAAAAATGCTTGGTAGAACACGTTGGTTGCATTTGCCTTACCTTCACAACATATAGAAGCGACATAGCGGTGCACTGAGTGGTTTATCAACCGTTGGAAAAATCACTGCGCTCATCCACTAACTCACAACGCCACGTTCGAACGATTTACCTGAAATGGAGACGTTCCTTCCCCTGATCGTTTGCTTTACGGTGCATTAACGTTTAATTACATTTGTTTAACGCTCGGCCAAACGTGCTTTTTTGGAGAATTGAAAATAAGGATTTCGAAAACAAGTTTAAAACAATCACCACTTTGTATTTAAATGTTACCGCTCACCAACATGAACGACTCATGAAATGGCTTGGAATGTTATGGTTGAATAAGTAGCTGTCTGTCTCTCTATATATATCTATAACGTTTTATGTACAGTAAATTTTGAAATACGTTATCTTACTTTCATGCCAGAGAAGGCATTTTAAAAAAATCAGGGTGGTTTTCTCAAAAGTTCGGCATCGTGTCGCGAATAAAGAGGAGACGTTATAGGCGAGGTGGAGGGGTGGTAAGAGAAGAAAATACGCCTTGGTTTGCAAGGTGACCAAGGTGGAAGGAGGGGAGGAAGACGAGATGGGAGAAAGCCTAGATTTACAGCGAGCGAGGCAACGCTTGCGGCAGCGGTACAGCGATCAACGCGCAGGGAAAACGTGGTGGTGCGTTGGTTCGTGCGTGCGTTGGTTCGTTCGTGCGTGCGTTGGTTCGTGCGGCAGTCCGAGATGGAGCGACAGCGGTGGAGCCGAGTCAGCGAGACGGATCAGGAGAAGGAAGTCTGCCTGAGGCTGCGTGGCGCTCGCCTAGGCGCGCCCGCCGCTCTACCACTGCCCATCGTCGCCCTGCGGCGCAACGTACCGTCCAGCGGGTTCTTGAGGCCGCTGCCGCTCCAGTCGAACTGCGCGGCCGCTACGCCCTCCTGGTGGCGTGCCCGCACACGCGCGCGCACACACGTAAGCACAGGCAGACGCGCAGACGTTAGTATGGTCATATGTACACGTTCGCGGGACAATGACAGGGTGCTGTTGGCGAATATTTAGTTTTTTTCTGATGCTGTGGAAAAAAAATGTGTCAATGTCTCCATCACCGAGGAAAAGGGCAAAATGCCGAGGTAATGTGATGCGTTGTTGTCCATCTGGCACGTATGTAATGTCTGACCGGATGGGTTTACGGATATGGTTCAGGTCAAAGATTGAGGGTTCAGGGTGCAGAGTTAGCGTTCAAGAAAGTGGCTTCTGGGTTAGAGATATGAAGAAAAAGTGGATTAAGGGTCAAGGTTCAAAGCTCACAGCTAGGATTCAGAAGTGGTTAGGGTCAGTGTTAAAAGTTCAGAGTTAAGATGAAGCGAATTACTTTTGGGGCCCAGGTTTCATTATCGGGTTAAGGGGCTGGAGCTTGAAAACGAAGCTTCGGACTTATGATTCTAGGATGAGGTCTCAAGAGTTCTCGTTTAGGAGCAGGTTAAAGGTCGCGCTTTACGGGTCAGGGTTAGAGGTCGCGCCCCGTCTTGCCTGAACACTCTCGCCGGACGCTGCGGCGCCGGCACTGCCGGCGCCGCCCGGCATCGCCGTGCCCGAGCCCTGCGCGATGGAAGCGATCTTCTCGGCCGCAGAGATGGGGTTCATGGGGCCCTTGGTGGGCTCCAGCATGCCCTACACGCAGCACAGCGATGACGACAACAACACACACAGCACAACAAACAGCACCACTTAACAGGGTCCCGTGCGTGGCACACAATGCCGCTTAAGGGAGATGAATCGGTTTTGCGATGTCGTCAAACGGTGCCCAATTGACTGTAAAAACTTTCCCTAAGACGGCACTCGGTCGTGTGTAACGTAACACTTTTGTTAAAAAAAAATCCGATTTAAAACCATAAAATCCGGCAACACTTGAGCAGTGTGGATGTTAACAAATACTGCCCTGCAACGAATGGGCCTAATCTGAGCTAATGTATCACACAAAATCTCTCTATGTTCCCTCTGGTCTGAAGAAAAGCCATGGGCCAAAATGTTCCTCTTCTTTCTTTTGCCAGAGTATTGCACCTCCTATAAGCACGGTTGGCTACGTAAGGTGCGAAAGAAGTTCAACGTACATACATACAAACAAACGTCTCTTCCCGCTCAAACAAGAGCGGGGCAGTGTTCATCTCCATTGGTGACGTTGAGCCGGCAGTAAAAGTTGCACGCTCCTGTGGCAAAGGCCAGTCTCTCCACTAGACAACTACCAAGCCTTCCGCTGTACACCAGCGAGGAGGATGGCATTGGTGGCGCGTTTCCCGTTTGTGTGCGGCCCCGCAATCAAAACGCAACCCAGCATCACGGGGGTCCCGTGTCCACGGCAAAACGACCATGGGTTTGTAGCGGGTGGAGGGGCCAGGGAGGGTGGGAGGGACGGAGGGCGACTTACCAGGCCGGCGGCGTAGACCGGCACAATGACAGGCTGCTTCTTCTGCCCGGTGAAGAGCTGCCGGGAGGGGGGAAGGGCGACAGAAGAAAGCAGACGGCAGATGGAACCGGCGTGCACCAAACGACCGTTCTGTCACGATATTAACAGCCCCTTCGGAACACAGCCAGGCGGCACTGCGGTTAAGAAGGTTGAGAGTTCAAATCCTGGTTGGGGACCGCTTGAGTAAATATATTTGCAGTGTCAGATCGTTGAATATTTTTTTTGCATTGGAAACACAACTCTCCTCTGAATTCTTACGCAACGTGACGGTGCACGGAGGAGAGAAGGTCGCGATTTATCATTGGCATTTGGCGTTCGTCGCGGGACGGCGTTGACAGAAACAATCACAGCGGCTGCAGCTCATTTCCCCGCAGCCTGGGAATGCGGGCGCACGCTTCCAGGAAACACTTTAACGAGGGCCAAGCAAAGTGGGCTTCAGCTAATGTTGCATCGCTTAATTGATTCACCGTGACGTAGTTAATCAATTAATCCGTCGGCGTTTAACCTTGCGTGCTTCTCCCTTACGGCTGGAGGGCCGCGCATGCGTGCACGACATGGGGGGGGGGGGGGGCCTCGCCGCTAATTGACGCTGGGGGCGCGAGGCTGACCCCCCCAACCCCCTAGGGTTTGCGATGTTAGGGGAAACTGCACCCCGCATGTGGACACAGCGCTGTCCGCTCCGCGCCTTGACCTGTCGGCTGCACTGAGCCGAGATATTCCGATTCGGCGCACACTCACCACACACGCTCGGTAAACGTGCGTTTCCACACGTGGCACGCTCGGCACACGCGTGCAGAATTCTGTGAACTTGACGCTGAGTTCGCGCCGACTCGCACTTACTCCTTGTTCAGATAATGCAATGCGCTCGTGTTGTCACCCCTACTCAAATAATAATACGTTACTACTCAACACGGACAGATCGCAGCGTCAAATCGGGATGTATTAAAATTGTGCTCTTGGCATTGTCCCAAAACAAGGAAACATTAATTCGGAACTCAGAGAACAGACCCCAGAAGATGTCGTTACAGAACTACTTCTAAAGGAACATCACACGATGTAGAACAGACGTGCAATGCACATGCCTGGCTCCACTGGCAAAACACGATAGACGACTCAACGACAAGCATGATGCTCTAACACAGGGCAAGAGGCAACGTGAATGATGTGGATGACGTGAATGAGCGAGCAAGTGGCTGAATTAGTGAGCAGGTGGACGAGGTGGCGAGCGGGTGGACAAATAAGCAGAGGAGGCAGGTTGGTGAACGAGCAAACAAGCGGGCGGTTGAGCGAGCGAGCAGGTGAGTGAGCCAACAGGTGGCCATGTCCGCCAGCTAGCAGTTTCGTTGGCGAGTGAGCGGGCGACACTCACGATGTTGCGCGTGTCGATGCCAAGCGCCGACAGCAGCCTCTTGTTGGTGTGGGAGCCGCCCCACTGGTACCTGAGGCCGTGAGCGTCGTCCGTTTCCACCAGCTCCGCCCACAGGGCCAACGCCGGCCTGCCAGCACACGCGCACACCCCGTTAATCGATCGCCCAAACCCGGGGTCTCCCACGGGGCGGCCAGGTCGTGTTGCTGGGAGGCGCGACCCGCAAGACGCGGCCGTCAACGCGTCTGATCCAAGCTCGTACGCGAGCTCGCCCGTGCGCACGCAAACGCAGGCACGTACGCACGCACATGCGTGGTGCAACGTCACGCACCGGGCCACGCTCACGCCCACGGAGGTCCCGACGCATTCAACAGCAGCTGCCGCCGCCGCCGCCGCCGCCGGCGCGACCGCCGACTCACTTGGTTCACGCCGACGGGAGCCGTCTCCGACTGCGATCGCGATCCACCCACGGGTGATTGCTCTGCCTCCCGGCCCGCCCGCCCACCCGCCCGCCCGCCAGGCCCGGCCCTCTCATGACCCTGGTCTCATCAGCATTCTGAAAGTTCCCTCGCGCTCGTCTGGCTCGCTTCACCTCTTCTAGCTAACGCAGAGAAGGCCCGTGCGAGCGAGGGTGCGTGGACGTTTAGCGACGACGCGTACGGACGGGCCGTCTGGTAAGAGACGGCGGTGCGTCCATTAGGAGTAAGGCATCTGTCGAGAATACAGTCTGACGTGCCTTACGACAGGCAGCGTGCCTTTGTTCTTTTATCACGCTGGGAAAATTGCCGAGGGAGACGAGAGAGCGAGGGAAAAAAAAAACACCGAGCAGAAGCGGAATATTTCATTGACTCATAAAATGGATGAGGCAGTCACCGAGTGTAAGCGATCAGCAGACAGGGAATCCATCCCGAGCGAGTATAAAAGGCTGCTTCTGCAGATGTTCAAACAGCAGGGAGCCCGCTTCACAGCTTAACGGGCTGAGTCGTCGCAGTGATGGTGGTGAATCTCTGAACGCGTTTTGGCGACTTCATTTTAATGTGCGGCGTCGTCTCACGGTGCGCGGGGGGGGGGGTTCCCAAATTTACGTGCGCCGTGCCGTCGCTCGCAACTCTATAAAGTTATAAAAGGTGTTTGTTTAAAAGTGCGTGAAGCCGGCACCGCTGTGAATCCTTTCTGGGGCAGTCGTTATGAATAATTCATTTATGTACTTTGCCGACCGAATTCGGGGCTTCCACGTGCGTGCAATTAACACACGAAGCACCACGCACAGCCGTACTCGTGGCACTGCTGCCACATTGAGGGTGCAGACATCGTCGTCGCTACGCCTACGTCGCACTGCGCAGCATATTAAAGAGAGTGTGAATTAAGAACCTCAGCAAAGAATATTGCTAATAGTGATAACAATGCATTAGTAACAACAATAACATTAACTGTCTTGATAGCTTTACACCAAATCATAAAAATGAGGTAACAACTTTCACTCGTCGTCATCAGCAATGATCTGTCTACTGCTGGAATAAGGCAGGGACAGTCTATTATGAGTTCACAGTCAACAGGGGCCGTGAAAGTAATCGGGCACCGTTTTTCAAAAACAAAGGAATCTAGGAAACAAACCTGGGAGCGAGATCGACTCGATTCTCACGGACAAACCGCACGTCGTCAGAGACGTTCCTGTCCTCAACAACGAAACACAGGAAGCGACCACAGGAAGCAGGTGTGCAGTGAAAGTCTCCATTCAACACAGCCAAAGAGGGGACAACGTTGATAAAGGGCAAAATCAAGGCAGAGTTCCCATTAAACGCCTTGGCGAGAGGGTAGCGGATTTCAGAATAAATCTCAGCAACTTATCAAGTATGGGCACCAAGCGGTACGCACTGTGTTCGTGTATGTTCAGAGTGAGGGTGGGGGGGGCAGCGCACGCTTGCCACCACGAACCCGAGGAGCAACGCTTGAGGAAGCCAAATTAACCGCATCGGCATCTCATGGGCAATCTGGTAATCAAAGCTCGGGTTTAGACGATAGTGGATTGATCACTCTGCCAATGCGCAGCACTTTGCATCGGTATTTCCCAGAGCGCATCCACTTAGTACGCGGAGAGGAGTCGCTACGATTTGGCATAAAACCCGAAACAATAAACTAATGCACGTGACGAAGAAAAGGGAAACAGAGTGAACGCGCGTCACACCGCATCCATCACCCTCCACAGCGGCACAAATTACTGTCTCCCTGCATCCCCCTACGCCGCCTCACCAGGCTGCCAACAGCAGGCGCCCGGGGCCCCTGCATGACGGCGCGCCGTGCCAGCGAGGGGTCCTCACTGCGCGCCTCTCGCTCGCTTTGCTCGCACCACTAGTACCACTAGTACCACTTGTACCGCTCGTACCGCTCTGCTGATGCTGATGATACATGTGGGCTAATAAATTAGACAAACAAAAGTGCACAACTGAGACAAAACTAACTGAGAAAGAATACAAATGCCACATTGACAATGATAATACATTCTGGGATTGTGAAGTGGTATGGTGACAACTGATTGAATCTCCGAGGAAAGGATAATATCGTTACAATCCTAGCTCTCACCCCCGATGGAAACACCCCCCGCATCTTAGAGGTGTCCGCGCCCCCTCCTCCAGCCCCAAGCAAATGTGCCGTGCCTCTTTATGGAAAGCCTGACATTTACGCTGAATGGTAACTCAATCACACCTTCGGCTGCTCACTTATTCTTCCGGGATGCGTGTTTGTCTGGCGCCCCCGCTGAGACGCCCTCGCTGAGACGCCCTCTTTTCTGTGACAGCGGCGATATCCATCCGCCACGACGCTATCTCGTTTCCATCTAACACAGCGGTGTCCCAGCCATCGTATTTGGCGATGGCCTGGTGGCTCAGGAGTTTAAAACGTTGAGCTCGCACGGCTGAGACCCGCTGGGTTCTAATACTGCCAGCCGCCCGTGATGAGGTTTGGGTTCTAAAGTCGAGTGGGCTGATGGTCTTAGCCAAATCACCATGATGACTGCACAAGAAACCAGCAAGCTAAATGTGGATTTTAACTTAGTTTGGTAAAACAGTTCTTAGCATTAAATGTTGGTTATTCCTGCCATGAAAACTCACTTCTCAGTAGAAAACTAATTTCTTAAGAACCAGTTTTTGAATTTAGTTTCTTGTCCTTCCACCGCACCTCCGATTAGCTCGGCTGGTTACGTACGGCGCGAAAGAATTTCAACATACACACAACATACATATGATGAATGTCTCCATAGCAAAAAGCGACAGTGTGGGGACAAGAGATCGCTTGAGGAGATCTCAAGTGGTGGTTCTGCACCAGCACTCTCTCCCACGGGCTGTTCTCCGTCAGCGGGTGATTGACGCGTTGTCTCATGACAAGATGCCCAAGGCTCCAATGGAATAAAGTCGGGGAAAAAAGACAACAAAAAAGTTTGCGCAATATTGCTGGTGGAAACGCAGATGCTTGCTTGACAATAATTGAACTTGAATGCACCACATTCACTTTTTTTTAAAACTGTGATCAGATACTCTTTGGTTCTATTCGGTAAAGTCACGTAGGTAAAAAATTAAATAACAAAAAATCACGACGTTTCGGCCACAACACAAGTGGCCTCATCAGCACAAGTGGCCTCATCAGGCCACTTGTGTTGTGGCCGAAACGTCGTGATTTTTTGTTATTTTATTTTTTACCTACGTGACTTTACCGAATAGAACCAAAGAGTATGGATCCTTGCAGTCACGAAAGCTTCAAATCTAGAATGTGATCAGATAATTTTTATGGTGAACACAAGAAAAAAACCAGGGTGGCGAGATGTTAACTCCTTCGCCCGGTATACAGGGGGTTGTGGGTTCGATCTCGACCCTGACGCCTGCTGCATATTTGGAGTTTGCGTGTCTCTCTCCCCCGTGGTTGCGTGGATTGCCAGGTCGCTTCTGCAAAAGAGCCATATAACTCAGTGGACTTCTTCAACGGAGCACTGCTTTACCAGGGCAAAGATGCTTACGGGCGTTGCAGATCCGAGTAGCTGTCCTGCATTGGAGCACCCCGGTACCCAGTCAGGTACTTAGCTAGACAAATCGTGTTACCTTTATAAGCCCATACCAACCAGGGGTGGTCAAGTATGGTCAAACCCCCCCACCTCCCCCCGACGACCTACTCGTCTCCACCATGGCCCCCAGTCCCCAACAGCCATTGCTGGATTCACCAGCCAATGGTGTTGGTTGGTTTGGCGAAGGAATGGGGCGACGGAGGGGGGGGGTGGGGTTACACTTATCCTACTCCCGAGGGTGAACCCCACCGACCCTCTCTGCCGCTTTCAGGACCCATATCGCCCCACATCATCACGAGCGCCCGCGGACTGAAGAGCGGAAACACGCGCGGCGTGATTGTTTACGCCCCCCACGGTCGGTCTCCCTTTGGGGGAATCGCAGATCAATGAGAGCCACTTAGATCCGACCGATCGATCAGAGCGCTGCGCGAGCGCAAGGTGGCGGCCGCGCCCCACTCCACCACACATCCGTGTCACGTGCCCCGCAGCATTCCTACAGCAACAAGGCACGTACGTTTCCCTGTCAGAGACACAACACTCACACTGAATTACTTGAGTACGTCCTCATAAGGACGTCGTCAACACTTACCAAGGGCACACAAACTGTGTGTTAAGGGGAGGGGGGGCCGGAACCTAAAGTATACTTTAAAATATCCACAACAATGTTGATAAAGCTTTTTCTCTGACAATCAACACTTTCATGTACCTCTTTCTTCTCTATCTGCACAATCCTAGATTATCTTTTCCCAATTACATTCCAACTGTGCCGACCGGCACCATTCATGACGCAAAATAATTTATCGCAAAAGGCAAGGCTCACCACCCCATGCTCGAGAGCAAAGCGGCCTCTGAAAGACAACACAGACCCACTCCTGTGATTCTACTTCCTATTGTAAGGACAGTACGGGGTGATGTAGGGATAGTACGGCTCCCCGTGGCCATTGTTACTAATTAACGTAACGGGAACAGACAGGATCACGTTAGGGTAATGTGGGACCTAAGTGGTTGCTAATAATGATTGATGCGACAAGCTTTGACAGGGTCCTGCAAGGGGAAGCACGGGACCCTAACGGTCGTAAATTGTAATAAGGGCAGAGACAAGACAGGGCCAGGTGCGGTGAGAGAGGGTCCGGGAATAGGGGCGTGGCCGGGTCGTGAGGGGGATAAGAGCCGGTGTGAACCGGGGCTCTGGGCTGCTGTTGTGGGGGCACTGCCGTCGCCGTCGTCACCTTGGAGTGGGTCGTCTTCATCATCCTGGAGTGGGCACTTTGTAGTCTTGGAAGGCTTAGAGTTATGTTGTCTCATAATAGAGCTATCTAAGTTACCCAAGTGTATATGGTCACTCGCGGTTACTCGTTAAGTTATCAGTGTTCGGCGGACTTTATTCATAATAAATATACATATAATAGCTGAACAAGACGGTGTCTCTGAGAGCTACATTACACTATGATCCACACAAGGGGCCATTATCCATTCTTATCTATGTCCCGCTACGGCGGTGTTCATTATACAGCAAGTCAAAGCAAACGAGTGCAAACCTCAAGAGCTGTAAACACACTCAATTGAAAAAACAAGTTTAGCATGAGCGGTTTTTGGTTTAGACCAGTGGCTGAGACCATCTAACTGCCTTCCGTTGGGAAACTACGTTCATCACGAGTCGCGGGAACCCCAGACTTGAAGCAAGTTGGCGCTATAAACGCTTCACGATGTCAAGCCTCACGATACAATGACTGTGATATCCTATTGTAGTTTCCATTGATAATGCATTGTGTTTGTGGTTTTCTGTACTTCCCGTACGAATCAAAGATTTACTTAAATGCTCTGCAACTGCAGCTCACTCAACAGAACCTGCCACGGGTTTTGTGGTCAACTCTACAACACGTAGCACGTATATTGCACACGCTGTCGCGGGTACAATAACATCATTAAACAATTCAAGCTCCCATAAAACTTATGACGTCATATAACCAGAATTCCGTCAATTACTCACGAAACATATAGCAAGTGTAGTATCTGTGCGTACCAACCATTAATCTAAAACTTTAATTATTGTGGTCACATTTTCTCAATAAAAAATATATGTAAGAAATTAAATGAGCAATTATTATTAAATGTATTATTATTATTACGCTTGACCACCCATAAAAAGCCTGTACTCTTTTTCAGGAGGGTTCTTCCAATGTTTTGCAGTCAGGGGCCACGTAGCCATGTGTAATCCCAATTGAGTGATATGCAGGTAATTTTTCATAATTGGGATATCTGACCAACAGCAGTTACATCACCTATGGGAAGACACCGGAGAACCCAGAGGAAACCATGCAGCGAACAGGGGGGAAAGCACACACTCCGCGCAGAACAGGTGACCGAGTCGGGAATCGAACTCAGGAAATTCCTACTTTGAGGCACGGGTGTTACCGCTGTGCTGCCACCCTGCCGACACAATGACGGTCATATTTCTCACAACCGGACCATACCATTATCATCGTGGACCTCCTGGTGCCATGGTTTTCCAGCGTCACCGCACCGACACACCCCTAATGTGAAGCCAGGATGTCCGCGGTGCCGGCTCTGTACTCCGTCACGGCGTTCGTCGGCGCCCTAAGCCACCCGGTCACCCCCCTCGTCAAACGGAACGCACTCCTGATTAGAGTATGGGGAAAACAAAGGGCACTCCGGCCGCTCTTTTGAAAAAGCTGATAGTAGTGAAGTATCTCTAAAACCAAAAAAGCCTCGCTCACGGTCCACACATGAGAAGACTACTGCACAGAGGCACTCGGAGCATGACTACACAGCCATGCGCCCTTCAAGGAACGCGGAATAAAACATTCAACCGGCCCTTATCTTGCAGATAAGCCTCTGTGTTCTAGGCTATCCAATACAAGATCATCGTTTTTGAAGTTATGGGCTGGAAAATAATTGAAGAACAGCATTCGCTCAGCAACATCACTTGGGCAACTACAGTGGCAACGGTTTATCAGAAACTTTAAAGCAAAGATGAGGAAACTACAGCCTTAAGGGCCAGCACATTAGGCCTACCACTTTTGAAATGACACGCAAACAATATTTATCCCTTCGTTTAAAGTTTCGAAGCCACACTAATCGGTTACTAGAGGGAAATATTGTCGAGCTAGCAACAACATTGCATTAGTATTGTAGCGTGCCCAGTCACTTCAGCCACTCTACGGGCCTCTTGCAGTCACAGAAGCGACCCGAGGTATGTGTTGTTAAATCTGTGGTTGTCCACCACTGGAAAAGGTTGATCCTGCTTAACTCCTGCTTTTAAGTCTAAAATCCCACGTTCTCATTAATGAAAGTTAAAGCTCATGGCGGAGAGCCTGGGAAACGCAACACCAAGTGATTTGGATTGACAGGGCGGTCAGACGGCGCAGCGGTAGCGAGGTTCACGGTTAAAATTCACGCCGTCTGCTTCACAGGGGACGTTAGAGATCCCCCCCGGTGTCGTTCGAGATCCTCCGGTGTCGTTGGCAAGAGTTGGCCATCGGGTGGCAGCGTCGGGATCCAAATTTGGTGAATTTAAAAATAACCCGCCAACCACTCGATTGGAATAATACATTGCAATCATCACCCCCCCCCCTCTCTAGATGATAGACTGACAACATTAACATGGATAGACTAGTTTAACACGTAGGCTTTTGTGACCAATATCATCCATAAAACAGGTTTTTTTAGGGTTAGATCTGGCTACCACCTCTTGATGCCAGTTATAATTACTGGCGAAACACTCAGATTGTAAATGCTGTGAATTTGCTCTCCAAAACACCGGTGTACTGTACTAGTAGCGAATTGGCATGTTCTGTCTATGTGAGAAACCTTACTAATTGGCTGTGTTGGGTGGTGCCAGGTTTAACGACACAGTTATATTTCTGCGATCTAACTAAAAAAACCTGTATTATGGATGGATAGACAAACACCCCCAGGCGAATTTGAAAATCAAACACATTCTTGCCTCGTGAATATTCACCTGGTTAAACAACGTAAAGTTCAACACTTTATGAAGTGTTTAAAGGTGACCTCACCACTAAACATTTTCACACGGTGGGAAAGACGAAAGACGCGAGGGTAAGGGCTGGTGATTGTAAGGCCGGTGTGTGGGTAAACTCTGTCCAAGGTACGTATCCACTTGAGCTTTATTTATTCGAAGTACACGCCAATTGCACACAAATGGGGCGCAAGGGCTAACTCAACGAACAAGGCACCAGAACATCAGAAAAGTTACTCACGACAGCGGGGCTATTCGGTCCATCTCGCTCATTAGGGAAGGAAACCATAGACAAACTGGAACCGGCACCAACAATTGCCCCTGCTCTGCGTTCTGCCCCGGCTCTGAGTTCTGCCCCGGCTCTGTGATCTGACAGTAGTGAACAGGGGGGGGAACTTCCGATTCATGAACCCAATCGAATAATTTGGAGGCAAATGTATTGATTTGGCCAATTTGGTCTAGTCTTGCGAAATACGTCACGGGATCTTCAACGTCCACTCTGAAGCAGACGGCGCGTATAATTAATGTTAAGACACGTGCATGAAGGCCGCTAGATTCAAACCACGAAGCTATGCAACAAGCGGCGCATGTGTAACCGGCAGGCCACATCACTGCTGAACATTCGATATATACAAACAATTCCTAAATGGTGACATAGAATCATGAACAATAATCAAACTAATAGAAAGCGCATGGTTATTTGTGCGGCATCTGGGGCGTCCTCTCGTTAAGCAGAGCCAAGCGTGTGGTAGAATTGAGGGGTCTCAGCAACCCCTTTATGCACGTTGACTGATGACCGAGCGCACGCATGTACACGTGTGCGTGCATGCATGGGGAGCGGTAGTGCAGCGACTAGCATGCTGCGCACTGAACCCAGCGACGCAACATCTGATTCCCACTCACCGCCACCAACACCAGTGAGAAAAATCTGAACCAGTCCTGTGCCTCCTCTATGTAACTTGAGCCTAAAATGAGCAGCAAGTGCAATGTGTAAATGTCGCCACGAGGGAGATAAAGGCGGCCAGGCGTGGTGCTGGCCACCCACCCCCTCGTGTGCCGCACCGGCCTTCATTGGTGCTCGCGAATAGCACTTTCCCCAAAAAGTATTTTAAAAGGCTACAAGGGGAATCTTTGTCTTTGTGCGCACATGCATGGGTGCATGAGAGCACTGTGTGTATGTGTGTGTACGTGTGTGTACGTGCGTGTGTACGTGCGTGTGTATGTGCGTGCATGCATGACAGCAAGTGCGTGAGCACACGTGCGTGTACGTGTGTGTATGAGAGCATGTGCGTGTACATGCGTGCATGAGAGCATGAGCATGTATGTGCGTGCACGTGTGTGTATGCGCACGCACGTGACTACGAGAGCACGGTGCCTCTCACCTGTGGTGGGCAACCTCCTCCTCGGCCCCCTGGGGGGCGCTCACCATGACCTCCCGGAGGGGCACCACAGCATCCTCGGCCCACGCCAGCGAGGGGCACGGGAAGCACGCCTGGAACACGCGCTGCAGCAGGGACGGCTGGAGTGGCACGGGGACACGGACACGCACGCACGTGTGAGAAACGCGACGACGCACATACGTTTCGGCTTACCATATTTTGAATAATATATTTTGTCTGCAGGGAATTTTATGAATAAAGTCACCAAATGTTGTGCAAATATCTGGCTGTGAGCTGCACGGATTAGCCTGTTCTGCTGACAGATGCAGACACTCGCCAGCACCGAGCGCCGGTGAGCAAGTGTGGACCGCAACGTAGCGTGCAAGACGTCGAGTCCCACACACATGCAGGTGCAAAAGTCTCACCTACTAATTTCTGGCGGAATAACTGCCAAATAGATTTTTAAAAATATCAGACTTTTGGCAATGAAGCATTGTAGTGAGGTCAGTTTCCATCTACTGATTAAACTCTTTCATTTCTCCAAACTTTGACATCTCATCAGCTGGAGTTAAACGGTGAAATAGTCATTAAATAACGTTAATTAAAGCAACGCAGTTGTCTGTGCTGTTAAACGTAGGGCTTAAAAAACTTGAGAAATGTAACTCCGTGTGGGGACTCCAAATCACAATTGTTAAGTTGCCGTCCTCCTTCTTCGACAACTTGGCAAGAGCCACCTGCAAAAGTCACAAGTAAGTGTGGCTTTCCTGGGTAGTAATAATGGTTAAATAATGACAAGGAAACCGCTATTACTCATGGACACGGTGAACAGGAAAAGTAGATTACGTGCTTTATGAAGGTAAATATTTAATTCACCTTAATGTAATATTTTCACCTTATTTGGTTTTCTGAAATGCATGTTCTTGTTCCTAGGCCAAGCAGGCATCTGTCCTTGCCTAGATCCCCTGCCGGGCTCCCTGGGTCACGCGCTCAGGGAAGAGCCTCCGCTGCTACTGTCGTAACCATTGGGGACATTGGCCGCAATTGACTAATTGCTCAATAATTAACGTGAAGCCTTATCGTGAACAAACGCAGCAAAGTTGCAGCGATTACCGTGGGATGTGACAGGCCATTTTAAGAAAGCAAAGCAGTTTTGTGCGCAAAAAAGCATCGCTAAGTTTTCTTCGCTGTCCGTCGTGCTCCGGCAAAACACTGCCGCCTGCTTTACTCCTCGCGGGAGACTCATGATCTCCACACGACCGAAGGTCTCTTTCTCCTCGGCTGCTCCCGAAGTCTGTCCTCTCTTCCTCTCGTGGTATGAATCGAGGCTGCCGTTATACGCCGGTCGTGTTTTGTGTGGTAAGCAGAGCAGGCGAGGATAAATTAATGATGCGTTATCCGAAGCGCCGGACTCTGCCCTCCCAGCCCACCCCGCACCTGCAACGCTCCCGTGCACGCCGTGCCATGCTATGAAATTCGCAGAGCAGAAATTCATTCCTGGCAGCCGCTCGGCTCCGATGCGAGCCCATCAAACCATTAGCATGCAAGGCAATCACATCGGCACCTGAATAATTCATCAATTCATCTGTCTCACCAAAAAAGCCAGCCAGGTTCAGTGTTAGAATAGGTTTTTCCCCTTTTTTCTGGCAACAAAACTGAAACCTTTTTACGAGGAATTATGTCTGCATTAACCACAATGCTTGTGGTCAGAACGCCTTTTGGCATCCTCTGGTCTAACACCGGTTGAAACGAGGCTCAAAAGAAAGCTGTCTCTGGTGTGGACCAATCAGATTCAAAGACAATGCATATATTATCAGAGTATGTTTTTTGTTTGCATTCTGACCACAAGTATTGTGGTTAATGCAGACATGATTCCTTGTAAAAAGGTTTCAGTTTTGTCGCCAGAAAAAAGGGGAATAACCTATTCTTATATTTTGGTACTGGCAAAGGAGGTCCCATGATGGGTTCAGTGTTCCCTCTCTCTCGTTTTTGCCTCTAACATTTTTATCGAGAACACATCTCCACATCCTGCTTGTTACAATACATGCTGTTACAGATGAGTGACCTCGGCCATTGCTACAAACAATGCAGCCAAGCGCTGCGGTTCCAAGCCAAAAACACTTGAACGTTTCAAGTTGAAGTGAAATAATGTTGTTTGTATTTGAGTTTACACCTCCGTCAATACCTCTTTATGGTCGATATTTACGACGATTACTGACTGAGAAGTGGATTAATAAGCAATTCGTAGCTGAAAAGTGTGAATGATAACAGTGAGCTCACTCTGCAGAACGCTAACGACCCGCTAAGGCACTCGCATCTTAGTGAAGATGCTGCTGGGTTTTGAGAGACACAAGTGGCCCCGCTGTGACAGCGGCAACTAAACTCCTTTACCGAATATAAAAGAGAAAAAAACATTCCGTCAGTTGTGAGAAGGGCAGTTTTTGGGTCAGTCAGGATTTATAAACCAAAAGTAAAAAAATATCAGACCCCTTCAACCAAGGTGGCTACCATGTAGCGCTACAAATGTCATTCGATTAAAGTCGCTGAATTTGCAACTTTCGGAGTATTTGACAAATATTGTTTCCAACTGAATAATTATAGTGAGAAATCAATGTCACACGATACTTGATCACAATGAGAATTCAACTTCCTAAATGGCTTACGCATCATTTTCTCGTACTGAATGTATACATCACCCAGCCTTAGCTAAGCTGTACCAAAACGGTACCCACCCCCCCTGCTCAAATGGAGGAGGCAAGAATATTAATTTACGACCATGAGCCAGTACAACTCCTAACAGGCAGGGATATGGACTCGATTGTGAGTGACATTAACTAGCCAAAGCACCAACCATTTAGTACCGGACAAATATATTCAGTCCTTAAAGAGTGAGAGCTTTCGATAGGGTAGGGTTCATATTGTCGTATTACGAGAACATAATTAACAGCTGTTTGCCTCTGATGCGTCTCGTACATGTCACTATCTATTTAATGTTTCCGTGGCTTAGTTTTGTCATGTGCCAAGATCGTTCTGATAATCCACCTGAGCAAATTTACACTTCGATTTAAAGCTTTTGTGACTGCAAGGATTCATCTTCTTTGGTTCTTTCGGTAAAGTCACGTAGAATGAGAATAAAATAATACATTGATAAAATAAAATAACACAATAATATTCTCACGACGTTTCACTCCAGCGCTGTCCTCCAGACAGTCTCGTCCCTTCACCTGATGAAGGCCGCTTGTGTTGTGGCCGAAACGTCGTGAGAATATTATTGTGTTATTTTATTTTATCAATTTATTATTTTATTCTCATTCTACGTGACTTTACCGAAAGAACCAAAGAAGACAAATTTACACTGCAAAGTAATCAGACAATAAGCTTTGATTTAATATTGATTGATGTTTGCAATGTTTTTGATTGCTCATGTTATGGTCTTTTGTTTGTTCTTTTGTTCCAATTTATTTTCCTTTGTTGGAGTGACCCCGGTTCACTCTCGCTAATGAGACTGTCCTGTTCTCTTGCGGTCCGGTAGACAAAATAAACTTCAAACTGTGAACACTCCCATCTGTGGTTCTGTCGCCTCCCGCGGGTGCTTCTATCGTCGGCGCACCTCCGGAGCCTCCTACGTTATTCCGCCGCCCGTCCGTCACCGCGCTTGCTTCACTCGCCGTGTGACTCGTGCTCTCTCGCCAGCTCTGCCACACAAGGCGCTCTACCTCTAAACTCTTCAACTTATCGTGCCCCACTATCTTTCTGTTGGGTCGGAATTTAGTCTTTGCAAGCCTAAAGGTAATTTGCTTACTAGTTTCACATGTGTACTTGTGACAAAAATTATATCCTACATAGATAGATCCAGACCTTTGAAATCGGCAAAATTAAGACAAATATTCCTTCGTTCTGTTCTCCCGACAAACCGTAAATGCCAATCACAAGCCACCAACACTCACCGTGCTGACACCAGCGGGAGCCGCAGCGGCTGGACCGGCTCTTGCTGCTCCTCCCTGGCCAAACTCAAAACCATCCGTGCCACCACTGGCGCTGGGCGCCTCTCCAAACGCCCCAAACTCATCGCTGCTCTGCGCCGTCCCAAACGCAGCCCAGCCACCCTCCTCTTCGTCTTGCTGCTGTGCCTCACCCTCCTTACCCAGGGGACTCCGTGCACGGCTGAAGTCCGCGAAGCCATCGCCGTCCTTCAAGCCACCATCGGCCCCGGCCGCCTGCTCGCTCGCAAAGTCTCCAAACTCAGCCGAGTCTGAGGCTGCGAGCGAGCCCTGCGCGTCTCCATCTGCGACAGCGACGACGGCGGCGCCAAAGTCGCCAAAATCGTCCTCGGAGGCGGGAGACTTGGCCGCGGACGCCTCTCTGAAGCTGCCAAAATCATCCTCCCCTTCAGCGTCATCTGCGCTCAACTGCTGCGGAGCTGGCGCCGAGAAATCGGCAAACTCTTCCTCGTCTCCGGCACCCGTCGGCTCTTCCGAGAGCATAGTAGGGGCAGTAGAGGCAGCAGCAGCACCAGCAGTGGCGGTCACGGCCACGTCAAAATCGTCAAAATCATCGGCATCTTCAAGGTTTGTGGGCGGCTCCTGTGTGCTACAGGGCTCCGCGGGCATTTGCTCCGAGTCTGCGGAGTGAGCCGCACCATCGGCGCCATTGTCACTGGGTGGGAACTCTGCTGGGGCGGTGAGAGGCGGCGTCCTCGTCGGAGCACCCTCATCGGCGCAGATGCCTGCCCAGGAGTCATCGGCGCCGGGTTGTTCCAGGTGCGAGGGAGGATGGCTTTTGTCTCTGGCTGCCGCAACACGCGAGCAGCTCGCATCGTCGGACACCGACGGGCAAGTTCTCTCGGCATCAACGGCGGCGGCGACGACATCGTCCCCACCCATGAAGGCAGCGCTGCTGAAATCCGCAAACTCCGTGTCTTCGACGGCCGAGAGAGTGTCGGCAGTACCGGCCCGACTCTCTAAGCGTTCGTCGACCTCGGCGGAGCACGTGGCGGTGTGCGGCTCGCCCTCGTCCGAGTCCACGGTCTCCCGTGTGTCCGCTTCCGCTCCGCTTCCGACAGTGCTTCTCGCTGTGCGCTCACTTTCAGTGATGACATCGCCAGGGGCCGCTTCCTCGCCGTCCGGTAGCGTGGACAGGGAGGGGGAGGCGAAGGCAACGAAGTCAGCAAATTGACCGGAGCCCAGTGGTGATTCTGCCGGGTCTGGCAATCCCCACGTGCCATTGGCCTCCGGCGCTCCAAAACCGTCTAAGGACGCCGCAGTCGTTTCGCTGGCCGGGTGGGGCCTAGGCTCGGCGCCTGGCTCCTCAAAGTCACCAAAACCGTCTTGGCTGGGGCAAGGGCTGGCGCAGGGCGTGGAGGCCGGGCTGGGCTCCACGCTTCTCCTCCTCCTGGCCATCGTCGTCGCGATGTCGGAGCTCTGCTCGTGCACCTCGCTTGGCGCCGTCCCCTTGGCAGGGTGCCCCGCGTCAAAACCATTCACCAGGCCCGGATCGCGCGAGGCCACACGGCTACCGCCGTCCGCTCGCTCCGTTGACGACGAAGCGCTGCTGCCGCTGCTGCTGGCGCTTTCCATCTCCATGCTGGCGTCGCTGCTGTGGCAGCTGTCGGGGCTCGCCGCGAGCCTCTGCTTGGCCGAGCCCAGCCTCTGCCTCGCCTTGTCCTGCGGCCTCGTCGCCGGCCCATCGTCGTCTCGAGACACCGCGCCGCCGACGCCACCGTCGTTGTTGTTCCGCACGTCGGACGCAGCGCCGCCGCGCGCGCCCGTCGGCCCGCTTGCCACGTACGGTGGGAAGTCGCCCGCCGGGGGGCGGCGCGGAGGCTCGGACTCCGGGAGCGGCGGGCCGCCCCCGCCGGCGTCCAAGTCAGGAAAGGCGTCTTCGTGTGCCGCCACGGCCGTGAAGTCGGCAAAGTCGCCAAAGTCGTCATCCTCCTCGTCGGAGATGGCACCGTCATCAAGCGGGGGAGGGGAGGACGAGTACATGGGGGCGACGTCGGGCTCCATGGTGGCGGCACGGAGAGGCGAGACTCTTTCGATCGATCGCTCGCTCGTCCGTCAGCAGCATCCGAGCCTGGAAGAAAAGGAAGAAAAATTAACGTGGGTGTCGCTGTGCGCTCAACGGCGGTGAAAGCGCAGCCGAGTCATCTTAAAGGCATCGCCGCTACCGCACCGTCTCTTTTAGATTATCTCCCGGGGAAGACAAGCACGGCGATTGTGTTTCGAGCAGTGGTTGTGCGGCTAAGCAATTGCAGGAGAGAGCACTGCACCTGCGTGCCTTCCTGCGTTGTTTAGTGACACAACCGCTGCACCGGGTATTCATTTCAGGCTCTAGCGGATGAAGGGGAGGCTGGAATTTAATCCTGGTAGCCGCGCTGTAATGCACAGTGCTCATTATCACCCCTCCCCTCTAAATCCCGTTGGAACAACACAGCAACGGTGTCTGCAACAGGTGGTAAACAAATTCGACTCGAGGGCTCTTCCAAACCATTCAAATCGGGCATTCAGTAACAGTTTTTAAAAACACTGCTGACTCAGTGAATTGACAAAGTACTATTTCATGAAGGCCGATGAAAAGAAATGCCCTTTATTATAAATCATATTGATATTAATTTAGGAATAAGGTTAATGACTTTAGATAATTTCACCAGTGAATATTTTTTCCCTATGAAAATCTATTTTATATCCCTTAAGTTCGTGTTCAATGTATTACTCAAAAGCTAATCATGCTTGGTTGGAAGCAACTTCACAAATGCATTTAAATTGTAATAAATGAATTTTCTATTTTGGCTCATAGTTAGCCATTGTTGCTTATCAGTGCTGCATTAAACGTGATCCTAATTTCATTGACTGAACAGCCAACATATCTCCATGGCGATTGCCCGGCTTGATAATCTCATTTCTCATTAGTTGAGGCTTTTTGGCTCTAGGAATTGTGCTCGCCGCTGGCATATTGAGAGTAAGGGTCAAAAGTTTTAGAAAGAAATTCGTCTTGTTTTCACAAGCTCCGAATTCCTTGGCGACACTGGAATTTCAATGAGGGCGTGCACACACCACTTGATGGGATCCACTGCGTTTAGAACGTGTAAAGGGTAAACATGTGACGTGGGGCTCAGAGGTACGCACAAACCTGGCGTGACCTGGCGAAAATCCATACTCACGGACGTTTCTAACGAGTTTGTATTTAAAGCAAAGAAATGAACTCTGCTCTCGTGATAAAAAAAACACCACAGAGCCAAAGAATCTAAAATAATGATTGCCTAAAATGGCCCCCCATAGGCTCTTTCCGTGTTTGGTATTTTCATAGATATGCTTTAAATGAGACTGATGAAAAGTGAAGATAACATATAACCAACAGTGGTGAACGAGCCATTTTCACAAATGTACAGCTACACCTTGTGTTGAAAATAAAACCAAAAACACACAACGCAGGCAGACATAGAGGCACACACAACCTGATCTCGCACACACACACAAGCATAAAAGAGACACACAATACACAAAGCCTCCAAGATCAATAATTGAGTGCAACACGAACGTCCCGAGCCAGTGATGATTGAAACTGTTGAAGCTGTCCTGCCACGTGACAGGCCACTCTCGAACTCACAGCCATCGCCACTTGTCAGCCCATCTTCAGGTGAAATATAAAACCGTTGACAAACGTTGTCAGATCAGGCGTTTAACTCTCTAGGCCTGGGTGTGGTGTTGCACATCGGTGACTGCAGAGCTTTGGAGGCGAAGGGTTTTCATGAATCACGCAGATTTTGTGAGACGCCAAAATCCGCTTAGCTGGCCTTGAGAACGCAGTATAGCAGTGGGTTCCTTAACTTGTCTCAACCGGCCTGCGAGTAGTATACCTTATCTGGTATACAAAATCTGGCCATCCGCCTGATGATGCCGGTTGTAATTACTGGCGAAACGTCGTACTCAGATTGTAAATGTTGTGGATTTGCTCTCCAACACACCGGTGTGCTGTACTAGTGACGAATTGGTATGTTCTGTTTACGTAATAAACCTTACTCAATTGGCTGTGTCGGGCGGTGGCGGGTTTAAAATACATTAATATCCACGAGCTCTAACCCCTCTATTATGGAGTGTACCTTATATAGACCAAAAGCTTGCAACCTTCATAAACATTCATCTCGAGTAGTTCAACAAGGTTTTTTTTTAAAGAAAATAAACATTTGGAAATGTATTTTTGATTTTTTTTTAAATATAGAACTAGAAATGCAACCACAGTTTCATACCTGGTAAGTGAAATGGATGGGATTCTTTGTATCATTTTAAACATTTTGAACCTTAAGTGTTTCTATTTCTAATTGCCATTTTTCAAAGCTAAAACCGATATTTGCTGGTTAAACCGTAAAGGCCACCCCAGTCAAATGCGGATGTGAGCGCCTACCAAGGCTAAAGTATAACACAAACCTCGGGGGGGCTGAAATCCTAGACGGGAGTCAAATTATCATCCCATTACCACCATGGAATTCGCACCTCCGATTAGCACGGTTTGCTACGTAGGGTGCGAAAGTTCAACATGTAGTAAACAACCCATCGCTTCTCCGGGGTCGATAAACACCATAGGATACGTGACCTCTAATGGACACGAGGATTTGAGGAGACGCTTAAACGACTTCCACTCTGGTTTTACGTTTGGACTCCAGGCTCAATCTCGTGTTTTCGGCCTGCACGCGCGCTCCACTTAGCAATTTAAAGGTTGCGAGTTGAATTTACATGAGCTCAGCCTACATATTATTATTACCCCTTCAATCATCCTCGACATCACCTCTTGGGGGGGTCGATAACAAGGTAGCAGCAGAAACTGTGGCAAGTCCAACAGCGCTCATTATACAGCGAGTGACCTCGTCATGGGAATGTGGAATGGAGATTAAGTGTCCCGCCAAGCTCGTCAGACTTTTAGTCTGACGACGAACGCGAGAGAAACCCGCAAAGTGTCTCCCTGCTCCAGCCCCCTGGCGCGCCCAACCGCCAGCCGACGCTGCGGCACTTCCACGTTAGCAGGGCGGGCGGCGAGAGTTCACCTGGATATCAACACGAGGTGTAAAAAAATATAAAACCTCGCGCGTTCTCGCCCCGCGACTCGGCAGCCCCGGCGCCGGGTAAACACGCGGGGGGAGTGCGGCGGCGGCGGCAACGCTTAGAGGGCCCGCGGCTCCCGGCCCCCAGTCGAGAGCCGCGGGCCGGGCCAGGCAGGAGGCGGCGCCGCCGCCGCGACCACAAAATCCCCGCACTGGACGCGCGCGAGAGCCGCGACCGCGCGCCGCCATTGGCTCTCGCAGGCTCACGTGACCCGCGCCGACCAATCGCGCGGCGCCGCACGCCGATTTGCGCTACCAAATGCAATAGCGGGGGCGGGGAGCGCTTGGGGGGGGTGCGGGGAATGCCTCCCCCCCTCCGCGACTCCGCGCCTCCCGCGGGCCCCGCCGCTACCGCCGCGTGCCCCTCCCCCGCCCGCGTTTCCCTGCGCTCCTCTCCCCGCGCGCTCGCCCCCCTTCACCTCGGCACCGCTGCCGCCGCTGCTGCTGCCGGAGCCATCTCGACGGGAGCCTCAGCAGCGACGCGGCTCCTTCCGGCGCCGCCCCCACAATGCCCCGCGCGCGTGCACCCCCGCCCCCTCCCGGCGACGTCACCGGCGCGCGGCTTCTGGCGGAAGTGGCCACGTCACCACTCCCCGGCCCCGCCCCCGACAACGCCCCCAAAACTCCCCCCCCCCCCGAAACAATTCTCCCCACCACCCACCAATGCCCTCACCAATGCACGCCCCCCCCCCACCAATAGCCACTCCCACCAATGCCCACCCCCACCAATGCCCACCCCCACCATTCCTCCACCCCACCAATCCCCCCCCACCACCGCCCTTTAATTCGCCCAGCCCACGGTGGCGCAGCACGCCCGCGTGTGGCCTTGCGTCTCTAACGTCCCCATTGACGAGCGGTCGCGCGGTGTCACATCTCGAGGGCCACGGGGAGGCCGCTCGGACCCCGCCGCTGTCCGAGCGAGAAGTGTCGGGGCCGGGCGCGTGCCCGGCGACATCTCGGAGTGTTGAGTCAACGCGGTCGGCTTCTCTACGCAGTGACAGGGTGGTGATGGTGGTGGGTCGTCAAATCGAGGATCTTCCCCGGCGGGCACAGCAGGGGCCGCTATCGGCCCGCGAGCCAGCCAGGGTCGCTCTGGCAGCCACAGCCCCACGGAGTCTCGAGACTTGGCTGTCAAAGGGCTCCTTCCCTGCCTTACGATGTTGGGCCGGGGTGTGTGGGTGGGTAACAAGCAAAGTTCCATAATCCATAGCTTCAATGCCGCGTCGCAGGTCATGACGACCGTCCGCGGATATGCCAACACCCCGCTGCTAATCCCAGCCAGTCTCCCATCCGCGCACGAACCAGTCCCAGCCCCGCTTAGCTTCCGAGCCTTTGACGAGTCAAGGCCCTCGATTCGGGAGCCAAATGCCCGTTGAGTAAACGAAGGCGAATCCGCCCTGAGGTCCAGGTACCCCATGCCCTGGTGACCCTATTCTTACACAAATTAAGTGTAAGAATAGGTTTTCCCCTTTTTATGGCAACAAAACAGGTGTTAAGATGTTAAAACACCAAACTGAAACCTTGTGCAAGGAAGGTTTTGCAAAGAAGGTTTCAGTTTGGTGCTTTAACATCTTAACACCTTTTTTTGCCAGAAAAAAGGGGAAAACCTATTCTTATATTTTGACACTGGCAAAGGAGGTCCCATGATGTAACAAATTAAGTGGTTCCACGCGCCTGATGATTGCTAAACACATCACACGTGACGTAAAACAGTACCGTTTGATTGAACCAGGCTTCCCGACCTGCACCTCATCATCACCACCACCATCGTCACCAATATTAAAAGCATCGTAATTATTTCTATCACCACCATCATCACCACTGTCATCATCACTATCACCACCATCATAAGATATTTTTATCACCACCACCATCACCACCATGACTGTCAGCGTTGGCTGTTACGTAAACTGTGTGAAGTACTTTATTGTTAGTACACCTGCAGTATTAACCGGGGCGGCCGGGGACTTGAACTGCAAACCTCTGAGCATAGGCGCTACAGCCCGGCCACGTAACCGCCCAACATCACGCTCTCTTCCTCCTCCTCACCAGGGCACTTTGTCGTTGACGTTCCGTGTGAATTGTGCATCACAACACGATGCACCAGGGTTTGATTCCCGACGAGGGCGCCTTTCTGTGTGGAGTTTATATATGTGTATATGTTCTCCCCTGTTCTGCATGTGGCTTCTCCGGCTTGTCCAGTTTCTTCCCATAGCTAAAAACAACCCATGCAATGTTACTGGTATTGGCCAACAAACATTCCAATGTAAAAATCAACCCTCAAATTACTCAATTGAGATCACACTTAGCAACATGGCCCCCTACGGCAGTACTCTCCTAAAAACGAGTCGTGAGACTCAGCGAGGCATTCCTGGCCAAACAAACTGATTAATTATCTCATAGCTCTGCGGTAACCTTCCCCGTGTCACTCGTTTACGGCACTGTGGTTTGCGGGAGCAGCGTTTGGGACCGGTGGCCTACACTGACGCGTGACCACCCGGACGAGGAGTGTAGGCACTGCCGACACGGGCAGCATTCACTCGCACTGCCTGGACTTGCGTTCACAATGATCCTAGTGGGTAAAACAACATTCGAGTAACACTCCCCAGTCATCACTACACGCTTCTATTATCATCTCTTTCCATCCATATCTCCCTGCATCTATACTCTCTCACTCTCCCCATCCGCTCGTCACTCTTTACCTCTTCTCTCTCCCCGCCATCAATCCATCTCTCCCAGTCTCTCGTATTGTGTCGTCTCTCGCTATCCCCATCCATCTCTCCTTCCTCTCTCTTCTCTCATTATCCCCACCCATTCATCCATCTACCCGTGCCTCTCCTATTCCTTTCTCTCCCTATCCATCCATCTCCCGTCGTCTTTCCTCCCTGCTCTGCTCCCTGCCCCCACAACGACCAACGCTCCATTTACAAATTGGAGATAAATAACTCCCTCTCCGCATCTCTCACATCGCTCCCCACACTCTCGATCACCCGTATGTCTCAGCTACTCTCTCTCTCCCTCTTTGTCCGCCTCTCTTTGTCCGTCTGTCTCAGTGTCTCACACTATATCGCTCTTTGTGTCTCACAATTTTTTCCGGGCGTCTCCTTGTCTTTGCATATCCCTCTTTACGTGTCTCTTTGTGTGTGTCTCTTTACGTGTCTCTGTGTGTATGTGTTTCTACATATCTGTCTTTCTTCCTGCAGATGTGTGTGGCTGAACGTTGTGTTTCTATTTGTGTGTCTCTGTCTCGGAGTCGTCTCTCTCTGTCTATGTCTTTCTGTGTATCTCACTCTATGTATTTCTCTATCTAAACTAGCATTGTTCCTCCGATAACCACCTCCCATTAGCACGGTTGGTTACGTATGGTGCGAAAGAAGCTCAACATATAAACATACAAACCTTCCAGCCACCCCGAACTCGGATTCACAACTCACATCTCAAGGATCGCACTTCCTGGGATATATTTTTTTTACGAGAATGAATTAAATCCGCACGATGATTATAACGAGGCGAGGGGAGATGGAGGAAGCGGTGTGGATGGGGAGAGAGTCGAACAAAAACATTCGCTTTGCCGTGCCTCATCCCGTGCGCCCGTCTGGACACGAGACCCCCCCCCCCCCACCGCGCTCGCTGCTAATGGGAATTGTCCAGCGGGGCGATCAATCTGTGTGATGCCGCTGATGAGCTGGGCGGTAAGTGCAGGCTCACAATGGCCAGCTGGCCTTTGTGAAAAGCATCGTGGGTATCCCGCATCCCCAAGATACACAGATGCTGTGTATTAGCAGGTGTATCATGAGCATAATGGTAATAGCATTAGCATATTAGATGCATCATTAACGTAATCTTCTCATGAAGAATAATCTCGCCAGCAAGAGACACAACATTAACGTCTAGGACCGTGGAGAGCTCTTCCATGTGCGTTTAGCACCGTGGACAGCTCTCCCCCTTGCATTCGGCCCCACAGACAGCAGCAGAACCATGGACAACGCTGTGCATTTAGTACCGTGGACAGTTCTCCGTTGTGTGGTCAGCACCTTGGACAGCTCTCTCGTGTATTCATTACACGACTGATTGCTTAGAATCGATCATTACCCTCAAAGGTGTCTTCTGCGAATAATGCGTGTGTCTATTGTTATACAAATGTCATGCAAATCCTTCCCTTTAGGTTAGTGTTGACAGCAAGTGAGACAGCACAAACGATACGGAAATAATTACACAAACACTTCAGACGAGACAGAACAAGACGTAAACAGTACAGACGGTCCAAACGAAACAAACAATACACACAAAGGCAGCACAGCACACGGAATGTACAAGTAACCATTCGTGCATAACCCGTATCGTGACACGCGTGGGGACCCACTAGGGGAAGGTTGCTGAGACACTCGGCGCTTCGTGGCACGGACAGCATCCTCACCGCGTGACCCCTCAGCCCCCCGGCACTGCCAGCACAACACCACCACCATCACCCCCTGCAGTTGATTGACGCTGCGTCTGATTGTCACCAACTCTCGATGATTGACAATCAGCGGGTTTCAAGCTGTAAGCGGGAGAAATCACTCCACTCTAGCGGATAACGATTTGTATCCGTCTTCTTACTCACCATGCCCTTCACTCAGGCTCTGTTTGTCGGGGACCAGGGCCTTGTATCGAAACGTTTGGACCATTCCGTGACTTCGATTTCGCCTGAATGTTGGAGAAACCCCGCCCACCGCGCGTTGAGACTCAAGATTTCCATTTTTGCTGTCCCAAGCCTACAACACCTGGCAAGCCTCGGTGGTCACAGATGTTACTATCTGAGTCCAAGCAGGCTCACAACCTGCTTGGTTCTTGGGTTGTGCTCCCCTCTCTCTGATAAAGTGGCGCGTCCAAACCACGCGGCCTGTTCGAGAATCCCTGGGCGATTCATGAGCGCGGATTAGAGGACGATGCGCCCCAAGGGATGCCGGGAAGAGCCACAGCCTAACAAATCGGCTCACGCCAGCGGGTTCATTAACTCGGAGAAAGTGACGGCGATTTACCAACATCACCGACTCACCGTGCTAGCTGGCGGTGTCCCGCAC